AAGGAACTTGCTGATAAATGTTCTACACAGAAAGCAATTAATTAGAAATTGAGCTTGCTGCAAATATTTGCTCAACATTCCCAACTTTAGTACACAGATGTAACTAGCTTATTCACTGATAGCAAGGCAGTACATGCACTGTTGTCAAAGACATAAGCTAGTTAATTAAGACGCAATAACAGGCTAAACAAATACTAATTCAGAAATCAAACAAGAAAAATCAGCGTTATATTTTCAAATTTTCACAGGACTAGTTTCGATGGTTTTACTGAACCAATATCCTCAGCTGCAAAAGCACAAATGAATGAGATAGGATATAATGATTAGATAAGACAAGAAAGCCTGGACATAAAATAAGCTAGTGGTGCCATCTGTTGATGAAACCAGAACTAAAACATAATTTTTTTAAAGGCCGAAGACAAAGATTGATATAACTAAGGTTTAAGGAGAAACTACAAAACTAAAAATCGGTTGTTTTGATGATTACTGGCTGCATATTTGGGTAAAAAAGAACTTATTACAGTGAAACTGTAATTATCTGTCAGTCTTAGAACTGCTGTCATGACAGAAAAAGAGAACAACACATAGATAACAGAAACTCCTCTCGTCACCACCTCCAAGTATGGACAGTCTATGAAGTTTAGTCCCAAGACTAACATTATCAGAAATAAGAGAATAGAAAGATAACATACACTTATTTCAGCATCATAAGCAGACATGAGTTGTCAATAACAGAGATTGGTTTCGGGATTGTCATTGTGATAGATAGGAAACCTGATAGCTCTTCTTTCCTCCACCACCAGCAGATAAGGGCAGTTGATAATAAAGATCTATTTTTAGCATAGCACATTGATTAGCATATATAAAAATCAAGATTAGAATTGGAAGTTAATCACTTTATAGTTCTTTGTGAAGCTTATTGTAATACATAGCAAAATTATGATACTTAAATCAATCCAAAGACATATTCACTTATAATAAATAAATGTCAAATAGCTTTTATTTTTCCAGTATTTTAAATTTCAAGTCAATTTAAAATAAAATGTTGTGCTGTATTTTTTACCTGCTGCAGGAGCCTAAAGAAATATTTGTTAAAAATACAGTACTCAGAGCTACATAAAAAGACAGTTCTTCTTAATTTTAGGCTATATGCATAATTAAAATACATAATAATACATAATATAATGATACATTCAAACGATTCTCAGAAGATGTCAAAAGATGCAAAAATGAAATCCAGAGTGATTATGGAAGATGTAAAAATAAAACTTGGTGTGTTTACAGAATACAACGAGGGTGCAATGATAGAATGAATCAACATCTTGGTCCAGAAAAGCTGAGGGAAATTCTACAATGCTACCAATTTCACATGTAGAATACACAGTATTAGACACCAAATTTGGCACAGCTGAATATACATTCTGAGCGTTATCAAGAAAGCATCCATAGAGCTGTAATCTTTTTGGTAACTCTTATCATTTGTATATCAGTTTGGTGATTCAGAATCTTCATCAAGGTTTACTTGGTATAATCATCAAAACTTTTGTTACATTTATTGGTAAAAAAAGTTGATCAAAAACACCAATACCATTAAATTTTTTAATTGACATAAAACTGAAGATTTCATGGCTCCCCTAAAGCCTAAATATACAAAATACCTGATTCTTCACTTGCCAAAAAACTTTCCAATACCCGACTCAATTACATGAACTCAGTCATACTGGAATTGGGGCTCAGCGATCTCACAATCTATCTACATCACAGAAGCGTATAATTGCTCCACACCCTTTTCAGGGATCTTAACTCTTTGATATAACAGAACAAATGTCCTCATATTAGAATGAATACCTGTAACTTACATATGCACACAGCATACCTGCCAACCTCTAAAGATAAAAATTCAGAAGATTTCTCCCCCAAATTCAGAAGATTTCTCCAAAATTCAGAAGAACACGAAGAATTAATATCATGCTTTGATATTAAAAAAATAACAATTTATACAAATAGAAAAAAGAAAATTGTACTTGCATTAGTAAATCACAATTAAGTAGTAACTAAAAAATTTATTAGGAAACATAAAACAAGAACTTAATGTTACACAAAAAAAAAAATTATTGTAATGAATTTAGAGTGCATTTTTTGGCTTTAGCCAAAAATTCTTTGGAAAATTTCCTGTCATAACAATTTAGTTTCCTCATAACATTAAGCAATTTAAAATGTTTTCTAGAGTTTTTGGTGAAATTGAAGAACGAAACATAGTTTTGTTTTTCTTCACAACACTGAAGACTCTCGCACTCAGCATTACTGTGTGGAATTACAGCTGCAGCTTTTTCTGCTGCCAAATTAATTAAGTGGCATGGGCATCCAATAACAATTAATTCATTTTGTTCTTTTTTGAGGAAAGAGGCTACACTCTTTTTGTCACCCACCATGACATGAGCATTATCTGCACCAAATGAAATGCAGTTTGATATTGGGATGTTGTTTCAACTCATTAATTACCAAGGAGGCAATATTTTCCCCCGTAGCGTCTCCATTTAACAACGGCAGACGCAAAAGATCAGTTTTCATTTCATTAGAAACATCACAGAAATATGTGACAACGTTGGGGTAAAGTTTCCAATCGCTGTCGTTTCTGCCATCGATTGACACCGAAAATGCTGAATTCTGGAGTGCATCTATCGTTTTACTTTGTGCATCGCAAGCAATTTCGTTCACAATAGAAGATGTTTTCTTGCTAGCACAAGCATATTTCTGAGCAATCTTGGAGTCGGGAAACATCCGTCTGAAAACTTGACCGGTGTGATCGGCAGCGCTTAGCAGCACGTTGTGTTCAATGAGGAATGCAGTAAACAAACACTCTGCCAAAATGACATTGGCATCCGAATTCGTAGCCGAATTTGAAAAAAAATCATCCACTTTCTTTGACATTGTCGAAGCCGAAGCATTAACTTCATGCTTTTTAGACTTAACATGCTTCACAATGTCGCTTCTTCCACTGTGACTTATTATGAAGTCACACACGCTCATGTTGCAAAATGCATAGTTATTTCCTTTGAAGGATTCTTTAATTGTTGGAAATTCGGCTTTGTAGGCAGGCCGAAAATATTGAGAATACGGTTTTTTTTTTTTTTTTTTAACTCATTTCGTAACAACGACGTATTAAGAAAATTCGTAGCACTTGCAAACAAAAAAACAAAACAGAATGCGACAATCCACGCTCGCTGAGTTCGAGCTGAGTAATTCTCTTGCTGCTGAAGCGAAGACAAAAAAAATAATCTGGCGCTCACAAAGAAAAGAGTGGGAGAAACAAGTTCAGCGCATTGGATTGGTTTGTTAAGCGGCGAGTTGAGAGAAACCGCAGGTTACTGGATTCGAAGTAGTCGGTAGTTGGCGGTAAAACACAATGCAATTGGCGAAAATCGCTGAATTGGCGAAAAATTCTAAAATTTCGACAAAAATCACCAAAAACACTTGAAAAGGGAAAAAAAATCGTAAAAAATGGATTACGATCATAAAGTCGTAAAGACAAACGCATTTTCGTAAAAATTACGAAAACTTCGTAAAAGTTGGCAGGTATGACACAGTATGACATGATATGCAGTGGATCCAATAAAAGGCCACTGTAGAAACTAATTTATGTATATGGTGAACATCAGGGTTGGCATTCAAATAGGGGAATGAAATTTCCTGACTTTTCCAGGTGTGTTTATGAAAATTCCAAGCCATCTGTGTAGTGCGAGTTGGCTGTGTTGAAGATAAATTAATTATGGTACCACTTGAAAACATGAACATTTGCCAATTACATATAACTAATCCCCAAAGTATTACTTTTATAAATATAATAATTGTTTTCACCTGAGGATTGAGATTAGAATCTGCCCAATATAGATTAAAAAATGTCTTTTATGCAGACATTTTGCAGCTAAAGGGAAAAAGAAATGTATTTAATTATATTTTATATTTATTTAGCAGCATACATAAGTAAAAAATATGTGCACTAAATTTCGTGAATGTATGTCATACTAATGCTAGAAGTAGTTTCACAAGTATGCCAGAGATAACTGCCTGAAATTTGAAAGTATTATTAACTAATAATAAATATATTTAAAAGGAAGAAAACACATTAAATGATTCAAATAACATTAAAATAAAGTGACCACTTAAGTATTTGGCGAATATATATATATATGTATACTAAATGGTTAACCAATATAAGTGATTATTATTTTTATTATTTTACTGCAAAATGGCAAATAAGGCATTTAAGAAAGAAGAAAAGGTTTAAAAGATTTTGTTTTATGCGAGAATTGGGGGGGGAGATTTACTTTCGTTCAACATGCACTCCACAAGCGCATGCGAATCTCTGGATTCTCCAGGTTACTGGAAACCATAGATGCTGGAAACTTGCTTTGCCCTTCTATAAGACAATCTGACTGGCACTGCGAAAACTGGCTTTATGCCAGCTGTCTGAATGACACTAACGTGATACACGATTTGCCAATAAAGTTATTGCTTCCTTATCGCTTGGTGCAAGAATCGCTTTTTGGGGGATTGCAGTAAGAAATTTCCCAATTTTTCCAGATTTTGACTCAAATGTTCACTGACTTTTTTGGTTTTCCAGGTAGAATGGCAACCCTTGAAAATTTATCTATGCACAAAGTACTACTAAAATTAGAATAATGAATTATATTAACTTGTTTGCATATACTTTTCTGGAAAAAAAAGTATCATTTGACCTGTACTTTTGTTAAGTTCAAAGGGTTAAGAGCAATATATGTATAAAGCCTCACTCATCTCTTTCTGATATAGCCCAAAAAAATTGTAATATATGGGTAACTTACATTTATTATTGACTTCAAATATAATTCCTACAGCCAATAGAAAATCATTTATATTGCAGCAACAAAACTTCAAATTTTATTTAAAAGTTTCAATAAAATTAAAAAGCTTCAAAAGACTGCAAAAACAACAATCTACCTTCAAAACAAATCTCATACCTGTGTGCGTCCAGCATCTTGTACTAAGTATGTTGGCAAACCTAACCGAAGGGCTTTCCTTTCTAATTCTACTAAGTGCTGTGTAGTGTTACCTCTCAAAACAATTTTTGTTTCTCTAAAAATAAAAATTTACATAATTTTACTGCAAGGTATTTCACACATGAAATTATTTTCCATTCAAACTATTATCACTGCACTAACAGGTATTTAATAAAACTGATAAACAATGCAAAGTTGATTATTACTTCATTGAAATGCCACATTTTATGCACGACTATCACAACAACATGCTTTCAATATGTCTTAATAACCACAGGAATTAAAATAAGTGGATATTTATCACTTACATGTAGAAAGCCTTTCCATCACCCTCTTGAAAATAGTCTTTTTTTGTCTCAAGTTCACATTTCTTAAAAAAATGCATTGGCATGATGACCTCAAAATATCACAAATGTTTTCAAGGTATAAATTACATTGATTATTTTCAGACATTGGGGTTCATTTCATCATTACATGATGGTTAAATCTCATATTTGGTACATAAAGTCACAACTTTCAATGAACAAATGATTTTCCAAAGCAGGATGATATTACACATATTTATGTACAACTCTATCATAAAGTAAATTAGTTGACACCTCATGAACTCTTTGGCAACTTCTTTAGACAAGATGCAGAAACTTGCCATACTTCTTATCAAATTTCTAATTATAAATACTACAGAAATGTAAAAAATGATGATAATTAAATTATTATCAATGAAAGTTTCACCATAGTAAATAATATTTTCAGTTACTTATTGAAGTAACGAAGTTTATGTGTATCCTTTTTTTTTCTATTAAACAAATAAAGTACTATAAAAAAACTGAATATTTATTGAAAAGTGACAAATTGAACATAAAAGAGCAATATACAACTGATGCTCATTATAGCAACCTCTCGCCTCCTACCGAAAAAGATCATTATACTAAGTAACAACTTTAATGAAAATATCTGACAACCTTGAAATACCAAAAAACTAAAGCTTTTGGAAGGTTTTCATACTGCACAATGGCACTCTTTTCAAACAACTTCAAATTGACTTAAACTAGCTAGATAATACATGATTTAAATTATTCGACTATTTATAATATGACTCTGATAAATATATAAATTGATAATTAATTCAATATTCTAAATTTTATGTTCTTTGATTAATTTTATTTTTTAATTTTCTTACAGTTTGAAATTGAGAAAATCCTGAGTAGAAAAGAAAAACTTTAATTCACTAATGTACTTTTAAATGAAAATGATATTAATAATTAATGAACACACATCGTGAGGATAAATTTAATAGTGATATAAAACAAACTGATTTAAAAGAAAATTAAATAAATATTAACTGTTTAAGCATAAACTGAATCTTCGCATAAAGTTAAAAAAATATCTATAATACATTAAGACTATTCAGATGAAATAAATCACTAGGGCTGGGGGATTAAAATTTGCCCAATTCCTTCTTTCCTTCCTTCTTTAATTCAATAAATTTTATTTACAGCTAAAAAAAAAGTAAACGCATAAGTAAACACTAAAATTAAAAACTGAAAGATTTTAGCAATCTACCAAGAGACATGGCAAAAAAATGGGAAAAATAGCAGCTATGATATTTAATACACTTCACTTGGAATTATTTTGTATCATTTACTGTTGTTAGAACTTTTCATAGTATAGAGGGCACTGTTGCACCAAAAGAATTCTTTTGTGTGTTTACATTATGTAATTGTCGGTTCGCCGTTGCGATGTGTCTGTATTCCTTGATATATTTTGGTGTTTTCATTATATATAAACGAAAGATGTCATCAAGTATTTTTGTATACCGAAATGAGATAAAATTACGACTAATGCAAACTCGCCGAAACAAAAATAGCATTCGTACAAGAACCGTCAATTTTTGTCTTCACCTTTCGAACTTTGCATTTGTATAGTTAATTGCTTCGCAAAATGTGGTGCTGTCACCAGGAAACATCGTATGGTGAGGTGAGCAAATAGTTTTGTTGAAAATTTATTTGAATAGAATATTTTGTAATTGTTGAAGTAGTAAAGTTGCTTGATGTCTTTGATCTTGTTTGGTAAAAATTTAGAACTTTCGTTTTTGAAATTTACTGAATGTTTGCATCGATATTTAAAAGTTCGAATGTATTTGCAAGTAAGGAAATGTTGTTTTTTCCTTAGAATTAGAATTTGTTGTTAATGTTTGAAGTGTGATTTGTTGTTGAAAATTACAATTTGTCTTCTTAGAATTCTAGAATTAAAAGTATTTGAGGGGTAAAATTTTAAACAGCAAGAAACTGTGAAAATGGCTAAATTGTTAAAGCTTCGAACTAAGTGTGACACACATCGTGAGCAAACTTAGAAAAAATAAACAAATATTTGAATGAATCGCATATCAACATAGATGTATGAGATTCATATTTAGAACAGTTAAATATTAAAATTGAAATTATTAACATACTAAATAGTGACACTAATGAACTGTTGAAAGAAGAAAATGAAATTAAGGATGAAATTAACAAAGTAGATGAATATAATGAAAAAATAATACCAATTAAAGTTGCAAAACAAAATTAAATCAATTGGAAAAGTTCCATATCAGTCAGGTGAACAAACAGTAAATCCAGAAAATGTTCACGTAGAAAATAAAACTTTGCATTTAGAAAACAGACTAAACTCCCTAAACTTTCGCTTCCTCGATTATATGGAGAGACTTCAGAGTATTTAGATTTTCAGAATCAGTTTGAGAATTCTGTGCATAATATTTCTAATTTAACTGAGGTTGACAAATTTTGTTACTTAAAATCATTATTAAATGGTAAAGCCCTAGCTAGCATTAAAGGATTTTCAATTACTCAGAGAACTATAAACAGGCTGCTAAATTAATTTCTGAAGCATTTGGCCAAAGAGACATTTTAATAAATGCTCACTTGTCAAATTTATTAAATCTGGCACCTGTAAAAAATGCTTCTAACATTTAGGCTCTTTGGAACCTTTATTTTGAAGCCCAAACTCAGATTAGATGTTTAGAGGGATTAAATGTCAAATCGGAAACATACACAACAATACCGACTAACATAACACTAAAAAATCTGCCAGGAGAATTGACTCTTGGATTTTCTAAGCAAAATATAAATAATTGTCATGATTTACAGGAATTAATAAAGTTTTTACATAATGCTATCAGTGCAAGAGAAAAAGCATTCCGTATTAATTCTAATAATGTATCTTCATGTAATAATTTTCATTCTAACCAACACAAACAAAACAATTTTCGAAACCAGAAACAAAACTTCCCTCCGAGTTGTAACAATCAACACACGTTAGTAACAGAATTTATGGCGAAAACTTCCCAAGTTTCTTTATTCTGCGGTCAAGGTCACTGTAAGACTGAATGTGAATATATGACTGTATAACAAAAAAGGGGAAAATTAATTAAGGAAAGGAGATGTCTGTTGTGTTGTAACACAAACTGTTTTGTGAAAAAATGTAATGCTAAATAGTGTTCATTCTGCTCTGGCAGACATGCCAAAGCTATTTGTTTTAAATTTGAAAATTCAAGCAAATGTAAATCTAATTCAAATCCAGAAGAAGAAAACCAAAGGAAATGGAAATTCAGCCTACTATTTCATATTCAGTTGTAAATGATAGGAATGTGATTTTATTACAGTGTGTTAGGACAGAAATTGTTGGTCGTAAATCGTCAGGTATAGTTATTGCAATGTTCGATAATGGTAGTGAAAAGAGTTTTATTAAAAGAAATGAATCTATGAAGTTGGGATTAAAATGTCTAGGGTCAGAAACCTTAAAGATTTATTCATTTGGAGCAAAGGATCCTTAGTTGCAAACATGTCGAGTCGAAGAGAGATTGCAGAATATTTTAGATGAAAATGAAGTCGTTATACAGGCATTGGAAACAGATGAAATGTCGAGGGCTGTGATTAATTTGCAGAATGAGAGTACAAGAGCTGAAATGGAAGCCAAGGGATTCACTTTAATGTGGGGACATAATCAAGCGTCTGATGATAATGAAAAAACTTCCTTGTTAATAGGTACAGATTTTTATTGGAATTTGACAAAAGGTTTTGAAAGGTTAAATACATATTTGGTAGCCGTAAACACAGAACTTGGATGGTCCTTGCAAGGAAATTGTGGTGATATGAGTAAAACGGCTGCTGTAAAATTAGTTTTGGGTGATTAAAATGCTGTGTCAGCTGAACTCAGGCGTTTCTGGGAAATGGAAAGTTTAGGTATTGAAAACAAGGAAGCGGAGTGTTTGACTTTAGTGGAACAGGAGATACTTGATGAATTTAATAACTCTGTTGGGTTCGTAGATGGAAGGTATTGTGTAAAGTTGCCGTGAAAACTGGGTATGCAGGAGAAATTAGCAAATAATAGAGAATTGGCTCGGAAACGTTTCAATGGTCTGGTTAGGAGATTTAGAAATGATACAGCTTTTTTTGAGGATTATAAAAAGGTAATTGGTGATTATCGTAAGGAAGGTATCATTGAGAACTCGTCATCAGGTATTGAAGTGCCATGTCCGAAGCAGTCATTCAGGAGGACAAATCTACTAGTCGACTTCGAATCATGTTTGATGGTTCTTCTCATGAAGGAGGACAACTTTCAATTAATGACTGTTTATATAAAGGACTAAACTTGTATCCAAATCTATTTGAAATTATTTTAAAGTTTCGACAAAATACAATTGCCTTCACAGCCGATATAGAGCAAGCATATCTACAAATTTTGATCAATCCTAGTGACAGAAAATTTACTGGATTCTTCTGGACTGATGATATCAGTTCTAATTCATATCAAGAAGTGAACTTTAGTAGAGTGTTATTTGGACTAAAACCAAGTCCATATTCATTAGCTGCAACTCTGAAATATCATTTTGATAAATGTAAACAAGAATTTCCTGCTACTTGCAAATTACTGTCAGAATGGTTTTATGTCAACTATTTGATTGGAGGCGAAGAAGATTTGCAAGCGGCTTTGAAAGATTACGACTGAAAGTGTAGAAATTCTCAAAAAGCATGATATTATGAAATGTAAGCATGATATTACGAAAATGGAAAACCA